TGTAGGCTTTTTTTATTATAATTAAGTAGCATAGATATTCATGATTAGATCAAGGTCAGAGGAGCAGAACATCAGAGCCAAGGATTTAAAGGTACAAAGAATAGAAAAATTGCTTTCTAAAGTTTTTTTTTGATAGTAATAGCTACAATCTTTAAGTTTTGCAATAAAACATTTAAAATAGCTCATCTGTTTTATTTTAAAATGTGCACGCCTGGTGTGTTTGCCATGCACATTTAAACTAGAAGCTTGAAGTCTCAGTTGCATTTTCATTCCTTTTTTTTTTTTTTTTTTCAACTTCCCATTTCTGCTCCTGGTGCAGAAAAGCAATTTGAAAATTATAATGACAATGGATTTTTTTTAAAGTGAAGTCTATATGATACCGCAAATTATTTGTACAAAAGGCATGAATTTTCTATTAAGTCTTATGGATTAATCCACAGAGGTGGTGTGATGTTTAGACGGAGATGTTTTCCACAGGGTATCTCTCCTAACATTCAGGGATAACTCCCCGATTTGATGGGGCAATTCTGCTCTCCTTGGGCAGACAGTTGACTGTACCTTTCCTTTTCTTGCCCTCTCTAACTAGCTTATGACGCCCTCCCAGGTCAGCTGATCAATTTAGGATTGCTATTTCTCTGCCTTCTTTTCCCTCTGATTTAAAACCCATATAGCACACTGTCCACTCCTTCTCAATCTCCTTGGTAGTCCTTCTCTTTGCTCCTCTGATAGTCTTCTAACTGATGCGAAGCCCTAGGATTCATTCCCTGGACCCCATCTCTTCACTCCCTCTTTCCTTAAGTAATCTCTAATCCACTTTTAATGTCAACTATATACCAAACACTCAAGTTCATATCGACCTCACCTTTAAACTCATATATCCAACTTCTAGTCAACATTTTTTTTTATGGTAGAAAACTTTTACTTTTCAATTTAAAACATTTCTACACAGTTTACCTCCCCTCTCCCTTCATATATATATATATATATATATATATATATATATAAATTTAGGAATAAGACTTTAAATCATGGATTGACCACACATGTTTAATGCTACCTTTCAAAACCTGATTAAAATAAAAATACAAGGACAAAAAGTATAAGCTCTCAAAAATGAGAAGAACAGAAAACATGCCACTAGAAGACAAGAACTTTTCATACATTTCTTGAAGACAGGCATCGACGTTTTAACTTGGTTATCTAATGGTCCTCTCAAACTTAACCTGACCAAAACTCAACTCCTGATTCACCCAACTGCAACCCAGCCCCTTTCTTGTCTTCTCCATTTCAGTGTATATCACCAACACCCAGTTTTTTAAGGGAAAAATAAGTAGTCATCCTTAAATTTTCTCATTTCTTAAACTCCACCCCCACCGCCATCATAAAATACCTCTGGTTGTTCAAACACACATGCCATTCTGTCCACTTCTCTTCATTGCTATCACTATGTGCAAGTCACCACTACCTCTTGCCCTCTCTCAACTTCCCCTCTTGTTTCCCAAAACCTATTATCCACACCACTACCAGACTTCAAGAGTAGCTTTTTAAATGTATACATTCTACAATATCTCTCCTCTGCATAAAATTTCTTAATGCTTTCCCGTAACACGCTGAAGGCAAACTCCAAGCTCCTTACTTCAGCCTGTAAAGTCTGATCCTTGACCAACTCTTGGACCTCACCTCCTTCCAATCTTCTTACTAACTGAGGTACTGCCTCATTGGCCTTTATGAATCCTGAACTCCTGTCAGCTTCCTTTTTTTTAAAATTTTTATTTTATTTTATTTGAGAGGGAGACAGAGGCAAAGATAGGGAGTATAAGCAGGGGAAGGGGCAGAAGAAGAGAGACAAGCAGATTCCCCACTGAATGGGGAGCCTGACCAGGGGCTTGATCCCTGGACCCTGAGATCATGATCTGAGCTGAAGTCAGATGCTTAACCAACTGAGCCACCCAGGCACCCCTCAGCTTATTTCTACCCTATTGACATGCCTGGCATATGCTTCCTCCATGTCTTTTGCCTACTTCCAGTCATTCAATCCATAGTTCAAATTTCAACTCTTTCTGCTGTCTCTATACTCTTATTCCATAATGAGTGTCTGTCTTACCAGTCTATTTTGCTTTCATCATTGAACTTGCCTAATATTTTTCTGCTTGTTTAGTGTCTCCTCCACCAGAAAGAAAACTCAGGGATTTGTGGGTCTGGTTCACTATTATATTCTCAGGGCCCTAAAAGCCTTTGGCACATAGTAGGTACTTAGTATGTTGAATGAATGAATGATTGCATATTCACATTTATTTGCAATCAATTATGTGCCCTCCCTGTCCTCGCTAAATTTTTTTTTAATATTTTATTTATTTGAGAGAGACAGAGATAGTGAGAGACAGCTTGAGCAGGAAGGATGGGGAGAAGCAGGCACCCCGCGGAGCAGGGATCCCAATGCGGGGCTCAATCCCAGGACCCTGGGATCATGACCTGAGCCGAAGGCAGAGGCTTAACCATCTGAGCCACCCAGGCACCCTAGCTAAAATATTATTATTCATGCTCAATCATTTCTTGCTCTTAACCATTTTGTTTTTGTTGTTTCATATCACCCTATCAGATATAACTTTACTTGTTTAAATAAAATTCATTTTTCAAAGTGTGTATTCAGTTGACGCCAATGCTACTCAAAGCCTGATCCATGGAGCAGTGCTGATCAATGAACGGTTTGTTACTGATATGCAACAAAATAAATACAGACACTGAGAGAAAACATGTAGAAATATTTACAGAAAGTTAGATTCTATGTCTGTTGAATCTAATAATAAAAATATTAGGACTTATATTTTATATGTCTTTGTTTTGTTTTATTCTTTAGGTATTACATTTTATGGTTATTTTAAAAATGTATTGACCATAATGGTTGAGACTTTAAAAAAAAATGTTTTTTTAACACAGCTAGTTTAAGAAGCAATAATCTAAACTATTTCTCTTTAGAAATAATATGATAAAGATATTTAACTATTTAATAAGATTGCAGGTATCAATTTACCATGCATTAAGAGCAGATAATAATTCATCTTGCAACAAATAGTGATTTGCTTAAACAAAAGCAGAATGATGGGTTCAAAACATGTATTCAATATAAGAACCTGAATTTAAAAAAAAGAGAGGGGAAATTGGGGAGAATACCTTTGGAAATAGTCTTTCATCCTATGAATAGTGATCACTTCATCATAAAGCCTATTCGAAAGCATAGAGTAAGTTGGATTAATGCCAGTAATAACCCTCCCATCTACACAGCACTGTTTTGCAGAAGTTGAGCAGAGAACAGACTGATGAGCAACAGAGACAAGATCATAAGGAAATGTCAGGAAGTTAAGCCTCCTAGCCCAGACCTGTTCAAATTCAGTCTCCAGACTGTTCATCAAGGCATTCTCAGTTCTCATTTTACTAAAGTCTTAAGTAAACTAATTGAAATAGCTAGGAAAGTCTCATAATAGAGCAGTTCTTCCCGCAATAATAAAAAGATGTCCCTCCTCTCTCCTAAGAGACACAACCACTCACAGGGGCTTCTGTTCCCTTGGCGTTCTCAGTCCCTGGGCTTTTCTGGCAGTAGTGACTAAGGAGAGGCAATAGTGACCACAGGTATGAACCCATAGGAGATGTAATTATTCTGACATACTTCCACTTGACCTCAACACACTTCACAGAGGCCACCAAAGAGCCACTGCTTTAATCACTCTTGGTCACTACCAATTTGGGCTGGATTTGATTCAGTGACTTAGAGGTGAAAGGTTCCATATTCAATTACCAGGCCCCCAGCTTCTTCATTTAATCAAAGGCTGACATAATAGGTCTATTACAACTCTTAAAAGAGATCAAATCAATATAGTCACTCTATAACCATAAGAAGAAATATTAATAAATATTCTTTATTTAAATATAAAAACCAATACTTGATCACATTTATATGAATTTGGTTAGAATGTATTTCATGGAGAATTTTATTATGGGAAATTTGAACATAAACAAAATGACCATCAAACTATACTTTGAATTTCTACAGTGGCCTTCCTTGGAGAAACTCAAACATTTTTACATTTATTATATCATTTATCCTACAACCATGGTTTGGTGTCTATGTAATTTGCAGAAGGATTTATTTGGTCAAGGGAGTACTATGAAAAATTGTAACAATTATGGTGGCACAGCTGAACTGCTAACTCAAAGCTGGGGGGGTCCCTTATCTGTCATTGTATCAGGAAGTCCTAATGGAGTCAAAGAAAAGGTGGAATCTGAAAAATCATAAAAGAAGCAACAGTGAGGTTGCAAATCACAAGCAGTAAGTGACTGCTAACATCTGAAGCAATAAAATGCTTCGGATGCTTAAGTGACAGCCATATAAACCCAGAGGAAACTACTGGAAAAGTCAAAAGCCAGCTAATCCCATCTCAACTTTTAGTGACACTATCAACACATATAAACTCATTTGAAGAGTTCAAAGTTTAACCTTATGTCTGAAATTCAAGGATAACGTCAAAGCAGAGAATATATCACGCTTCATCTCCAAGTCAAAATAAGAAACCACTCTCCACCTGACAAGTGAGGATTATTTATTTAACCATTTATATGAAGAAATAGTACCAGTCCTTTGTGTTAAGACTGTAAAAGAAAGTTCTGGTTGTCTTATTCATTAATGAGTTAGACTTCTAAGAGATTGTGGAATTTCTTACTTTGGTGTTTTATTTTGTCACCTTTCTTTCCTTTTTAATATGTTCCCATTGATCTTACCTTTTTCATTTTTTACATTAGCTGTCAGGCACCACCTTGGGCTGGTCACCAGGATGCCAGAACCCTTGTCAGAAGCATGTTCCTTTGAATTCAACCTCTTGGGTACTAGAACCTTTTCAGTCACTTTACTGCCCTTCATCCTTGCAAATGTCATCTTTCTGATGGACATCTTGGAAAACTGAAGAACAGTTCCTTTACTAATACATAATATCTCGAATTACTTGCAGGTTGCTCCCTCCTGACAACCTTTGGGGTATTTATTAATGCACTGAAAATATGCTGTCTGCGCCATTGCCGTCTTGCTGGAGATGTGACAAGCTGGTTAGACCACGCCAAGAAAAAAAATGGCGGTTGCTATAGTGAGCTCCACGTAGAAGATACAAAACTTTTCTTCACCCTTCTCCCTCTCTTCATTTTTCAGCTCCTTTACAGAATATGCATTATGCAGGTAAGGAAGGGTAATGAGTACTGCCCCAATAATATAAAATGATTTTATGTGAACATTACAAATAAATATTTATTTTCACCCCATCAAACTCTTCTCATACACTTTGTCAGGCAGTTATCCTATAAATGCTTCTCATCATTACAGGCTCTAATTTCAAGAGGCAAGTGGGGTCAGGCAGAACATACCTGAGGAGAACCCAGTATGTTGTTTCTCCTGTAAAACTGGAAATGTCTTTCAGAAGATGTGGACGATATTTCAGAGTGCATAGTCACAAGGTATAAGAGCAATGCACAAAAATATGAGATCTGCGAGCAATTACCCAACCTTTTTTTCAGCCAGAGGTTTGCCTTCCTCCTTCATTAAGCCTTTAAGGTCTCGTACTAACATGTAGCTAACTTGACTGATTTAAGTACCACCTCCCCTGTACTCAGTATATGTTCTAATGAGCAAGTGATTATTTCCCCACCCCACCCCCTTAGTTCCTTGGTGAATCAGTCCCTATGCTGTGGAGAAATTAGAGGTAAAACAGCAAGTCCAAAGTACCTTTTATAAATATATGTGATTAAAAAACAATTTTAATATGATAATGGTCAAAGACAAACTTACGAAGAAATATAAGTGACTATAAAGTCTTTGAAGAAATTCAGGACTATATTTGCTGCTAACTTGAAATTTAGATGGCTAATGAGTGAGTTATACTCATAAACCTCAGAGCAATAGAGCTAAAAAGAAACTTAGAGATTAACTTACTCAACTACTTCATTTGTTGAAGAGGAAACTGAGGCTCAGAAAAACTAAGCGATTCTGGAAGGGATAGCTAAGTCACACAGTAAATAATAGTGAAAGGAAAAACAAATCTACCTGCTGACTCTTAAGACAATGTTTGCTCTAATTGACCAGAGGTCAGCAAATTACTGCCTTCAGGCCAAATCCAGCTTGCTGCTGCTTTTTTTTTTTTTTTTTTTTTTTTGCATGTCCTGCAAGATAAAAAGTTTTTAAATTTTTATATGCTTAAAAAAAATCAAAAGAAAAATATTTTATGACACATGAAAATCAAATTCAAAATTCAGGGCCAATAAATAAAATTTTATTGGAACACAGCCATTCTTGTTTATTTCTCATACTATGTCTCCTGATGCATGAAAACAGCAGGGTTGAGTGGTTGCAATAGAATCAGTATGTGGAAATATTTTCTATCTGGCCCTTCGCAAAAAAGTTTGCCAAGAACCTTGCTGTAAACACCGCACGAAAGCTCGGTTAATTTAGCAGATTCAACCTCTCTCCTGACTCCACAGTAGGAGCCAGCACAAAAACACAAAAATATTACCCATGTATATAATCTTTAAAGTCATAAAGAGCATCTTAAAAGGGCAAAATTAATAATAAGTGCAAAATTACTAAGTAGTCCATAGCTAGCCTCGAACCTTCTGTGCAAATAGCACAAATTACTGATTCTTTATCTTCGTAATGCAGTGACACTTGCTATTTCTTTTGACTAAATTTGAGTCTTTTCTGCAAACGGTCATAAATTTTTTAATTTGACATGAATTACCATAAATTTCAATAAACTGAATTTTAACTATCTCACCAAATCTAGATGCCCAGGTATTGCAAAGAACAAAAACTACTAATCACCTATATGGGTCATAGCTCCTAAAAGATGACTTCATAGTATCTACTTAATCCTCACAGCACGCTTACCATGGCTGTTATTACGATCCTAAATCTGTGGCTCAGAGACATGAAGTAACCTGTAACTTGGTTGCAGTCACCCCACTAATATATGGCATCCCAATTCAGTGCTGTTATCAACACCCACGGTTTGTTATTATCCACAATGCCTCTCTTGCAGCTGGGTTAAAAATCCCTGATAACAGACATATAGGTTCCAAAATTATACACAGTAATGTTATGCCAGAAAATTCCAAAAAAAAAAAAAAATTCAGAATGTACTTCTCAAGGGAGGCAGAAGAAACTTCCAATGGGATAAGGCTGAAATAAGATTTTTACCTTCAGTTGAAATAATCACCAGCATAAAGGCGATCAAAGTACAAAGAATAAAACATCCTTGAATTCCATATTTTAAATTTAGTAGCCATTATTGACCTTCAGTTCCAAGACATACATATAAAATATGTTGATATTAAGGCGGATGATGTTGCCATTTGACATTACTGGCCACTCAAAGGTGAAAATTAATCTCTATTGACAGCAATTATTTCTGAATACTCAGAGGCTTGTATGAAATAAAAGTATTTAAAATTTTAAAAGGGGATGATTTCAGAACTTGAGGCAGAAGCAGAAATGATTTCAAGCTTTCAAGACACTGGAGCCTTTTCTTAGATTAGGCAATATATTAATATTGCTTCACTAAAGATTAATAGTACATTCGCCACATTATTAAGTTAACAGGTTTCTGTGTCTGTGATTCATGCCGATAATAACTTTATTCTTATTAACAATAATTCTCATTTGAAATCAGTAACAGAAACTTCCAAGTTATGCTGCGAGCCTTTTAGTCTTTGAGCAGATCTGCTGCCAGCACTTTTTTTTTTAAAAATATCATTCATTTTCCTCTGATAGGAGGATACATGCTTAATAATTTTATAGAAGTAGGGCAGAACTAGCTAATGTTCCCTTCAGTCTTGCCATCTGCACCCAACCAAAGCAATCCTTGTTTATAATCCTAAAGGTCACATTAAAGATTGGAAGATGAATTAACACCAGGACAAATTTTATATAGATAGAATGTGAAAATATAGTCCATTCCTGGGTTTAGGTAGTTAACATAGCAAGGGGCTCATTTTACAAGTGGTGGGCTCGTTGACAACTGTACTTATGACTCTGACTCTTCTTATACCCTCTCAAATTGTACAACGGATGACAGAGGAGTCAGTGAAAAGTCTCAAACAGGAAGTTATCATCTGGATATTTGAGCAGGGCTGCTCTCCCAATATGGCGATAAGGCAGAAATCCAAACGTAGTGCACGCACAGCAAGAAAAAATGGGTTGGAGAATCCATTCCTTAAGAACAAGACTCAGGGGCGCCTGGGTGGCTCAGTTGGTCAAGCAACTGCCTTCGGCTCAGGTCATGATCCTGGAGTCCCGGGATCGAGTCCCGCATCGGGCTCCTTGCTCAGCGGGGAGTCTGCTTCTCCCTCTGACCCTCCCCACCTCATGCTTTCTCTCTCTCTCAAATAAATAAATAAAATCTTTAAAAAAAAAAGAAAGGGGCGCCTGGGTGGCTCAGTTGGTTAAGCGACTGCCTTCGGCTCAGGTCATGATCCTGGAGTCCCTGGATCGAGTCCCGCATCAGGCTCCTTGCTCAGCAAGGAGTCTGCTTCTCCCTCTGACCCTCCCCACCTCATGCTTTCTCTCTCTCTCAAATAAATAAATAAAATCTTTAAAAAAAAAAAAAAAATCACAAGACTCAGGTTGCCTTCCTTTCCAAGTGACTTAGCAGTTTTGTTCTCCACTGGGAATTAAAGAAATACTATGCACTGTGAGTGATAATGATGAGTGATTGCAACCAAGTTCACAAACTAGAAAAGCAAAGAGATGCCCTCTTTCCTGTGACACTGTGCTTTTTAACAAGAAGGTTTGGAATACTTGAAGAGACTTCAAGTTCAGGGCGCCTGGGTGGCTCAGTCGGTTGAGCGACTGCCTTCGGCTCAGGTCATGATCCCAGGGTCCTGGGATCGAGCCCCGCGTCGGGCTCCCTGCTCGGCGGGGAGCCTGCTTCTCCCCCTGCTTGTGTTCTCTCTCTCGCTGTGTCTCTCTCTGTCAAATAAATAAATAAAATCTTTAAAAAAAAAGAGAGAGACTTCAAGTTCAGTTTACACTTTTAGTTAGGATTAGGGTTATTTTAAAAATGAAGAAATTCTGACACTACACTGAGGGTTTGGGATGGGATAGAGGTTTTCTTCGTTTGGGCTTTGGGGGGATTTTGTTTGTTAGTTTTTCATTTCTTATCTGTTAGTTTATTATGCAAACGTTTTCCACACAGTTTCCTTTATGGTTCTCTAGTGTCACACACTTAGTTTAAAACGAGAGTGTAAACACAAGTATATTTTGTTTTTCTTCTTTCGTGTGACTTGGCTCATTTTAGAGGTGAAGCCTATCCAAGGAGCCAACAAAGACAGCCTATGCCAAGTACTGTGTTTCTACACTGGGCCCCTCTTCTTAGTAAAGATCATTCCTACCTGTTTGGCCACCAAACTAGATGCTATACAAAGGATTTTTTCTAGCCCCCCATTATTTTCATCAGGGTAAAAACAAACATCTTTAATACTTTCTACTGGCTTTTAACTTACTGTTTCAGGGAAAAGTCTGTTCGCTTAGACGCAAAGTTGTATTTTTTTAGTCAGTTATTTGATTTTTTATGTGTCATCCTAAGCACAAAATTAGGGTCATCTTTACTTTCCATAGGAAAATTAGGAAGTTAGGCGGGATGACAAAAGATTCCTCCCTAAAGAATCAGTAGTATTGTCAATAGACTAAACAGAGCTCATACTTCCCTTTGTCAGCTCATAATTGGGATGTTGAAGATCTGGGGAGCATCCTGATCATCTGTCACAGAGTACTTGCACGGGGCAAAGCGTCTGCTGCAAGATGCTTTCTCCAGAGTTAATGCCTGGCTGCTTTCCCCCTCAAATACAGATTCCTTCAGGATATTATGTGCAGACCATGAATTCCAACCGGAATTTGGATGGATTTCTTCTGCCAGTTGCAGTAATGAATGTCGTCAACACCCTACCACTATTAATTCTGGCCCCTTGTATAGAGTATTTCAGCACTTGCCTCTTTCCCTCGAAGAGAGACGGATCATTTCTGTTGGCATGCATTAGTAAGTACAACTTAGCATCTCAAGTGAATTGTTTGCAACATTTTAAAATAAAAAAAAAAAAAAACCACTCTGCTAAGATCTAAGCTAGCTATATGTTCTGCAGTAGACACCCATTTTGACAAATTTGGAAAGAAAATGAATTTGAGCAGAATAACATCCAGTTCCTCAAGTCTCTATGCAGACATCAGCAGCCCATTTTCTTCCCATCCTTTTATGCTTCCTCAGAGGACACAGCTGATGTAAAGACCCGATGAAATTTCCGGTACTACAAAGCAGGCTATCTTTCCTCAAGTGAGGTGGTCCTTACTCCTAAGACAATGCTGAGTGTGTTCTTAAAAATTAACAGAGATTGGGGTGCCTGGGTGGCTCAGTGGGTTAAGCGGCTGCCTTCGGCTCAGGTCGTGATCCCAGGGCCCTGGGATCAAGCCCCATGTCAGGCTCCCTGCTCAGCCAGGAGTCTGCCTCTCCCTCTGCCCCTCCCCCACCACTTGTGCTCGTGCTCTCTCTCTCTCTGTCTGAAATAAATAAATTAAATCTTTAAAAAAAAATTAACACAGGTTAATGAACCCAGAAAATAATGCCTGACTATACTTGGGAGGAATTGACTTCTGAACCAGTAGCAAATTTACTAAAAATCAGCACTGTGATTCAGTTTCTATATAATACTTATTCACAAAGTAAGGTATATAGCAATAATTTTCAAGCATTTTTTTCCAGCTTTATTGATTTTCCAGCTTAATTAACATCTAACATTGTGGAAATCTGAGGTGTACAGTGTGATGATTTGATACAAGTATACATTGCAAAGTGTTTACCACAATAAGATTAGACAACACATCCTCTACCTCACATAATTGCTGCTTTCTTGTTATGGTGGGAACACTAAAGCTCTACTCTCATTTTTGAAAGGGAAAGAAATTAGGTCATCTTACTCAGAACACAAGCAATAGACCATAAAATAAAATTTCTCCAGGGGAGCCTGGGTGGCTCGGTCGTTAAGCGTCTGCCTTCGGCTTGGGTCATGATCCTAGGGTCCTGGGATCGAGCCCCGTGTCGGGCTCCCTGCTCGGCGGGAAGCCTGCTTCTCCCTCTCCCTCTCCCCCTGCTTGTGTTCCCTCTCTCACTGTGTCTCTCTCTGTCAAACAAATAAATAAAATCTTTAAAAATTAATTAATTAATTAATTAATTTAATGTCTCCAATTGCAATGCTGAGGTCCATTCTGCTCACACTCTGCCTCTGCCTGGCCGAGGTCCCTCAGGCACCACCATGGACCAGGGGACAACGGCTGGTACAGCCAAACCACATTCAACCTGAGTCAAAGGTCTGGGCCTCAGCCTCTGCTCTGTTGCTGAGCTCCTGCTGCATGACCCTGAAAAGCAGCCTAACCTTCCTCGTCTTCTAGTTCACTTATTTTTGTTCACTAGGGGCATACCCTCGATCAATCTGGGGTCCCTCTGTTCTGGAAGACTTCCAAAATCATTCCACATGACATCCGTGACCGGAGCATAATCCAGACACACAGTGAAAGCTCTATAAATGTTAACTAGTATTGAGCCATCATGTGTAGGGAACAGGTCTAATTGGTGGGCATAAACAGAAAGCAAAGGGAATTTGAAACACTTTAGAAATATCATATTATGATAACCTAATATCTTATGGTCTTCTTGAGGAATAACTCTGTTGAAATAGGGTCAGGCATCTAGAAGATTCTCTCCTCTTGTTTAACCTGTTCTTATTCTTAATTCCTCTCTTTTAGAGATGAGTGGAGACCATACAGCCTTTTAGTAACCCGTTATTACATTTTGGGGGCTGTTTCTCTGTAGAAGTTATTTTTAGGGAGCATGCTTCTTGTTATTTACCAAAGCCATCAACCAGATCACCTCAGATCACATCACAGGGTAGATTTGTTTTTGGAAAGAACTCAAAGTGATTGAACTTACCTCAGTGTATGTTGTTATCTCCAATTACAGAGGCCTTTAGCAAATAACCTTTTTTGATTGAGTTCTTAAGCCTCTAACCCCAACATTATTTATCGTAATTGGTTTAGGCAAACTATAAATCTTACTAGGTTTTGACAATCCTTAAGTCTTAAAAAGTGCTTTTTGGTCTGCCAATGTAAAAATTCTAAAACCAATATTTAGTGAATGCCCAACAGTATTTCAAGATATAAACAAAAAGCAAGACATCGTACATGCCCTCAGCAAGCACACTATTGTTTTAAAGATTTTGTTTATTTATTTATTTGAAAAAGAGAGAGCGCACACATGGGGAGGGGCAGAGGGAGAGGGAGAGAATCTCATGCAGGCTCTGTGCTGAGTGTGGAGCGTGATACAGGGTTCAGTCTCACAACCCTGAGACCATGACCTGAGCTGAAACCAAGAGTCGAGGCTTAACCAATTGAGCCACCCAGGCACCCCCAGCAAGTACACTATTAAAACAGAATGAATGCAGGACAAAATGGGGGTAATTTTTATTGCAAAATGCCAAAAACTTCAGCAGTCTTGTACAGTATAATGGAAATCTAGTCTGGGCTCCCAAATTATGCTTAATTACTATTTTTTCTTAAATTGGGCCATTTTAGGAAAATATGCTCTACAGCATGGCTGAAAGAACTCCATTAGAAGTCTTTCCTGAGAATAAGATATCTTAAATTCATTTTAAATATGGGTAATTTTCTCTTGGACAATTCTCCTCTCTTACATATTTAAAATCCTTTCTATTCTTTAAAAGGGGTATGTTTTTTATGGATGGAGGAAAATTAGGCAGAGTTACCTAACATATCTCATATACATGAACTAAATATTCCCCTTCAAGATTGGTAACAGACTTGTTGGACAGGAAAAAGGAAAATCTAGACTCATTAAAAAAAAAAAAAAAAACTTAGCTATGTTCCTCTGAGTACAGAATACTGAATTCAGTTGTTTCTAAGCCAGACTCCATTCATTTGTTCATTTACATACTTGTTCATTTATTTGCATAATATTTTGCTATGGGAATATAAAAAAAGTGTGATGATATGCATCTTTTAAAACTAGATGTTTGCTTCAGTTCTTCATATTCCGTTTATGATTATGGAAGATTAACAAGTTTTATCAGGACATACAAGCACAAACTTAGGGTATGTTTTGGTAGTAATTTACATAACTGAATTAGTCCAATATTAAAATCTCCTTTCACTTTGAACCCAAGTGCCTTGAAAATATGAGTGACGTATTTAAGTACATAAATTGTGAACAAATATTTATAAGTTCCTAACTTGAACCTAGGCGCCTTCTTATACATATCCCATTTAGCATCATAATAAACTGTCATTTAATAGGTCAAGGGTCTAAAAGAGAATAAATGCCATTTGAATTCAGGTCTTCTCATTCTAAGGCCATTGCATTATTTATTATTATTATTATTATTCCACTTACCACCAAAAAGTAATTGTTAGATGATAGCAGGTAAATAAATTATCATTATAATTTGGAATCCTTACTGCTATTTCTTTTATTTTTTTTAAGATTGTATTTATTTACTTGAGAGAGAGTGAGAAAGAGCAGAGAGAGAGAGGGAGCAGCGGACTCCCCCCTGAGCAGAGAGCCCAATTTGGGGCTCAATGTGGGGCTGGATCTCAGGACCCTGGGATCATGACCTGAGCCAAAGGCAGATGCTTAACTGACCAAGCTGCCCAGATGCCCCCTTACTACTATTTCTAATTAAGGCTCTGCAATGAATGAAAAAAAAAAAATCCTTTCGTTGCTACAACAGGCAGTTACTGCTTAGACCCCCCACTTTCTTCCACATTCGTCATCCCCCTTCCAGGGACTGTCATGTTTCAGGAGGCAGATGGTGCAGACAGTGCCAATGCCTAGTGTTTGACATGGATAATCACAGCCCAGGCCAAGAGTGAGGGATGGGGAAATCTCACTCAGTTGGTCAAACTAGAAATTTAATAAAGGAAAAAATAAACTTACTTTTTCCGTCTAGCTCATAAACAATGCAACGAGAGAAGGGTTTCTGATTCAAGATAGGACAGTCTTGACTTTATCGCCTAAAGAAATCAAAGAGTATAACACCGTACCACCTATAAAGAATCTCCAAACCTTCTAGAACTGTGAAAGGCAAAGGCTTGCTATGCTCAGAGTTGTATCAAGACGGTACTTTCCTAACATTACATGTGAGCAGATTTATCTGTTTAAAAGTCAACCTTAATTCACCTAAAATGTAAAATCAGTGATAATTGCAATTTATCCTGTCATAATTGGACATACTTCATTTTAGCCTTTTTCAGTTCAAAAATGTTTATACTAGGGGTATTGCCTTTCCTTAATGTTAATTAAAATCCTGCAGTATGTGGTATTTAGTAGTTACTGCTGACATACACAAGTATTATTCTGACTAAAATTAGCCTAATTAAGATTGTTATTAAGTCTTGCATAAAGCAGAAGTGTATAACACAGGAGGTAGCAATTATCCTGGTTTTTAAATAACATTTAAATTGAAACGTGGATGAAGTACGTTCAAATATCTCCCAAGCCTTCCTCTTTAAAATAAAAACTTGAAAATTCAAATTGTAACCCCAAGTCCTTTATGATAAAGGGACAACCGAGGTGTTGGTAACTTTTTACATAACCAGTAACTATACTTGTTCTAATAATTGACAGTGATAAAAGTTTCCTTTCTGAGGGCGCCTGGGTAGCTCAGTCGGCTAAGCAGCCAGCTCTTGGTTTGGCTCAGGTCATGATATCATGGGACATGAGAATGAGCCCCTCCTGGGGCTCCCCCTCACCATGGAGTCTGCTTGACGATTCTCTCCCTCTGCCCCTACCCCCCCTTTGGCACAAGCTCTCTCTCTATCTCTCTCTCTATAATAAATAAATAAATCTTAAAAAAAAAAAAAAGATTCCTTTTTTTGATTGGAGCCAAAGTGCTTGATAAATTAAAAATTGAGTCAGGGGTCCAATCACCTTCATTGAAAATAGGATTATTTTAGGGCACCTGGGTGGCTCAGTCGGTTAAACATCTGCCTTCAGCTCAGGTCATGATCCCAGGGTCCTGGGATCAAGTCCTGCATCAGGTTCCCTGCTCAGTGGGAAGTCTGCTTCTCCCTTTCCCTCTGCTCCTCCCCCTGCTCATGCTCTCTCTCTCTGTCAAATAAATAAATAAAATTTTTAAAAAAGAAAGAAAATAGGATTATTTTAGCAAAACCGCTTCTTTGGTTATTACAGTTTTAGAACTGATACATTTTTTTTCCAAAAAAAATCACAGTGCATACCCACTGAAAATATCTGATTGAAGGAACTGTAAATATTAAAGAAACAATGTGTAAATATCTAGACTGAACCATTCATTCATTTGATGGTTCATTTGTTTCATAAAAGCACATTAGTGTTCTCAAGTTCTTATTTTTAAAGTGGACATCAACAATGGATTAAATTTGAGGTAAAGTAGACCAGCTAGTACACCAACTGAAGCAATAATTGATATCTTATAGATACACTTGTGTATCTGATCTCTATGTAAATGAGTTACCTGCTTCATATTTAGAAATTAAAACACCAACTGAAGTTGACTCTCCTGAAATGAGTTCCAATGGTCTAAAGAGAAACAAAAGACAGAATATGTATAGCTCAGTTCAAATATAGGAACACACCACTAATAGGAACAATAAAAGTAAAAAACATGCCATTCTAGTAGTGGGTAAGTAATCTCTTCTGCAAAGGCAGCAGATACATATGACAATAAAATCATAGCTGTTTCTGTGAAAGTGGTTTATGGACACCCGTATGTTCTCACATGAGCAAATTTCTTCTTCTGGGAATTGGCCAAAATCATGGATCATGGCTCAACAGAATTTCATACTCACAGCTGTGTTACATACCAGAGGCTCATACATCAGACTACCCATAAAAAAACCCATAGTTTTCTCAGTCAGTAAATTTAACTAATAACTGAAGAATCTTAACATACCTGTTTTTTAGTATTAGATTTTGCTTCAATATGAAATGGCAATTTTTGAATAAATTCTGACTTTCCTTTATTTCACTGTGGTCTAATTTGGAAAACTATTACATGGCAGGGTAACAGAATAAACTGTAAGAGCTTCAAGACTCTTACGGACTTGTCTACAACCGCACAGCCAATATTAAAACATACATTATTTATCCGAATATAATATCTCCTTTGGAACCATGTGCTTTATCTTGTAAATACAGATCTGCTAGAAGTTTAAAATGTGTACCTTCTGATAAACTGCACTCTGCTTTGGACGAGTTATGATCTCATAGAAGTTAAGAATAAAAACGGAGCGGATTAAATTTAGGTTGGAATCAAACTTTGTTTTGAATTTTAAGAAAGTCATTTTTCACTAGCATCAGAGTGCAGTAGCAAATAAAAAGCAAATGTAGTTATCTAGATCCTTCAGGTAAAAATATGCTTTGCCCTAAAAGATCTGGGTAAATGAGTTAAATATTTGCGCTTCGCTTGAATTTGTCTGGAGAACCATCTTTCATTGGATTTTGCTAGATTAGGTCTCATAGTGCTTTATGCCAGAGTGGTACTTCTCAAAGTTTAATGTGTACAGGAATCTCTGAGCCTTCTTGTTTAAATGCAGATCTGAGTCAGTGCCTCTAGGGTGGAGCTTGAGATTCTGCAGGGCTAGCAAGCTCCCAGGTGATACCTCTGCTGCTGGTCAGGGACTACCGTCTGAGTATCAAGGACAGAGAAAAAGGCCATTGAGACTGCTCTGTCATGTTTCATGCGGTGTATAGGTAGCAGGAGCCCAGGAAAAACTGCCACTATTTCTCATCTGTTCAGAGCTAAAATTCAGGAGTAGGCAATAAAAGCTGATGGCTAAGCCAGGGTCAAGTCTGGTCCACCATTTGTTTTTACACGGCCGGCAAACTAAGAATTATTTTCACAGATGAACATTTGCTCTTGATCTGATGATAAGAAGGAGTAACTTTAAACACCAGTTAAGTGAAATTCCATCACCTCCCCAAAAGCATTACTATTTTGAATTTCATCCATAAAAAACATATTCTATCTCTTGTTGCATGAATTATCTTCGTATCTTCAAAATTTTGCCCTTTTGTCCCACAAAATCAAAAATGTTTATTATTGGGCGCCTGGGTGGCACAGTTGGTTAGGCAACTGCCTTCGGCTCAGGTCATGGTCCTGGAGTCCCTGGATCGAGTCCCGCATCGGACTCCCTGCTCGGCAGGGAGTCTGCTTCTCCCTCTGATCCTCCCCCTCTCATGCTCTGTCTCCCATTCTCTCTCTCAGATAAATAAATAAAAAACCTTTAAAAAAATGTTTATTATTGGGCTTTTACAGAAAAAGAAATTGCAGATATCTTGTTTAAGCTACTTCCTCTAATGCTATAAACTTTTCTGAATAAAATATAACCTTGTTTACATAGTACAAGGTGATAACCAAAAAAGGGGGGATGAGGGGGTGGACTTGATGTTTTTTATCTAGATTACCCTAAATTAGTTAGGATGAAGGGCATCATAGAACACTCTCATAGAATTCAAATTCTAAAACAAGAAAGTTTGAAAACTTATTCTTACCTACCTCAACACTTTCTTTACAGTTCATATGATTATCACGGACAATATAGTTTGTGCGATTTCTACAACTTAATTTTTTTTAATTTAATTTATTTATTTGACAGAGAGAGACACAGCGAGAGAGGGAACACAAGCAGAGGGAGTGGGAGAAGGAGAAGCAGGCTTCCCGCCGAGCAGAGAGCCCGACGTGGGGCTTGATCCCAGGACCCCGGGATCACGACCCGAGCTGAAGGCAGACGCCCAACCGACTGAGCCACCCAGGTGCCCCTGTACAATTTAATTTTGTACAATTAATGTAATGCCTGAACATACCTGCATCAGTTTGCTCAGGCAGCCATAACAAAATACCACAGACTAGGTGGCTTAAACAACAGAAATTGTTTTCTCACAGTTCTGGATGGTATAAGCCCAAGGTCAAGGTGTAGGAAGACTAGGTTTTCCCTAAGGCTTTTCTTCTTGGCTTGCAGATGGCCATCTTCTTGCTAGGTCCTCACATGGCTTTTCCTCTGTGCATGCACAGACATGGTGTCTTTTCCTCTTCTTCTAAGAACATTAGTCCAGTTGGATTAGGGACCCACCCTTATGCCCTCATTTAACCTTAATTACGTCTCTAAAACCCCTGTCTTCAAATAGTCACATTGGGAGTTAAGATGTCAACCTCCTATTTTAAAGGAACATAACTCAGTCCATAGCAACCCTATATGTATGTAGAAATTCATCTCTGAAATTGGGTTACATGTTATAATGGATTGGCAGCCCTTTTTTCCTTTCTCGGTGATACATAAAAACATGTTTCTTCTTATAGTTGAATTCATCTTAGATTCAGGAAACAGGTTAGCAAACAAATAATGCTGAAAGCCTTTCAATAGTAAGTAATGGTGTCCAGCTCTGGCTTTCTCCACCATCCAGTCATAGTTCCCAGAGGCAAATCATTTTCGAATTTTAGGTGCTGTTTGTCTAATACTGTTAAATAATATGATTATAGGGGCACCTGGGTGGCTCAGTCGTTAAGCGTCTGCCTTCGGCTCAGGTCATGATCTCAGGGTCCTGGGACCCAGCCCCGCATCGGGCTCCCTGCTCAGCGGGAAGCCTGCTTCTCCCTCTCCCGCTCCCCCTGCTTGTGTTCCCTCTCTTGCTGTGTCTCTCTTTGTCAAATAAATAAATAAAATCTTTTAAAAAATAATAATAATATGATTATAGAAATATTTTTATTTAAATTGGCAATCAGTTTCACACACACACACACACACACTCATGGCAAAACCAAAGAATTTGATTCAATTTTCTCATATAAAAATTTATTTTCTGTACTTAAAAAGTATGTGATTTTTCCCAATTATTTCATTAAAAAATTGTTTATTTTTTAAGTTTCAAACTGCTCTACCAGTCTCACCGTACTATCCCTAGTTTTGTCCCAGTGCTAAAACACATAAGGTAATGTAGTAGTAGAGGCTCCTCTTCCTCTGGAGATCTTCTTGCAGACTTCTATGCCCTTGATCTCTGTCTTCATGATGGTCCTCTAGATTGGCTGCCTGGTGCTCTTTTTTGTTAGATCTCTAATTACCTCTTCTTCTTTCTTGACTTACTTCCTCTTTCATTATCATTTATTTTTTAGCAGCTTCCTAAGAAAGGGTATATGGGAAGTAAAATTTTCCAAGAATTTATATGACTGAAAGTCTTTTTACCCTTACATGTGATTATTTGATTGTACATAGAATTCTAGGTTGAAAATATTTTTTCTTCATAATTTTGAAGCTATTGCTCTGATTAAAATCCACAGACTGGTGCGCCTGGGTGGCTCATTCGTTAAGCGTCTGCCTTCAGCTCAGGTCATGATCCCAGGGTCCTGGGATCGAGCCCAGCATTGGGCTCCCTGTTCAGTGGGAAGCCCGCTTCTCCCTCTCTTACTCCCCCTGCTTGTGTTCCCTCTCTCGCTGTGTCCCTCTCTGTCAAATAAATAAATAAAATCTTAAAAAAATAATAAAATAAAATCCACAGACTTGAAAGACTGTTGAAAAGCCCAGTGCCCTTCTGATGCTATTTCCTGTTTATGACCTCTTTTCCTGACTGGAGCATTCTCTCTATCAGTGATATTCTAAGACGCCATTTTATTGTGCCCTGGTAAAGGCCTTTATAACCATTGCACTATTCACAGGTATTCTCACTGTTCTCTCAATCCGAGAAATTTTCCTTTATTTTTTAAATATAACTTCCTCTCCATTTTCTCTGTATTGCAACTCCTATTGATTACAATAGGGGTTGGACCTTCCTAAAATAATCCAAATAAGTCTCTTTTAAAAAAATTTTTTTGGGAGAGACAGAGAGAGAGCATGCTTGCATGCAAGCAAGTTGGAGTGGAGGGGCAGAGGGAGAAGGAGAAACAGAATCCCAAGCAGGCTCCACCCACAGCATGGAGCCCACCACGGGGTTCGATACCACAACCCTTAGATCACGATCTGAGCCGAAATCAAGAGTTGGTCACTTAACCAACTAAGCCACCCGGGTGCCCCCAAAATAAGTCTCTTTAAAAAAAAAAATTCTATTCTCAGGGTCCTGGGATCAAATCCCGCATCGGGCTCCTTGCCTAGCAGGGAGCCTGCTTCTCCCTCTGCCTGCCACTCCCCCTGCTTGTACTCTCCCTCTCTCTCTCTCTGGCAAATAAATAAATAAATCTTTAAAAAAAAATAATGAAAAAAACTCTATTGAGGTATGATTGATCTACAAAAGCAGTACATATTTAATGTACACAACTTGATGAGTTTGGATACCTTTTATTTCTTCTTCTTGCCTAATTGTTCTGGCTAGGACTTCCAGTAATATGTTGAATATCAGTGGCAAGCGTGGGTGGGTAAAGAGTAGGGAAAAATGTTTCAGAAGAGCAAAGCAAAGGCTCCAAGGTGGGAATGAATTTAAGATAGGCAAGAAAAAACAAAAAATGTGGCTGAAAAATGGTCAGAGAGGAGAAAGTAGCAAGCAATTAGAGTGAGATGATAAGCACAGATTAGATCATACAGGCCATACAGGTAAAGATTTGGGATTTCATCTTAACTGTATGCAAACCTATAGAAGGAATTTAAGCAGAAGAGTAACATTGAGTTTGCATTTATACAAGATCTCCTTGACTGTTAGGTGCTTACTAGGGTATAGGTGGGCAAGAGTGAAAACAGGAAGACCATTAAATATGTTATTGCACATTGTCTGGGTTAAAAATAATAATGACTTGGACTAGAATGATGGCAGTGGCTATAAAGTGAAGCAGGTTAATTCACAATGTATTTTGAAATAGAATCTGGATAACTTAAGAATATATTTGGAGATAGGGGAAAGACAGAGGACCCCAGATTTCTGCCTTGAGTATGTGAAGGTACTGGAGGAGATGGGGAAGAGTGAAGAAGAAGTAGGGGAAAGATCAAAAGTTCTGTTTTGTGTAACCACCTCTTTGAAAACCTCCCTTAGAGATTACTTATCTTTCTGACCTTTCTTTCCATGGTTTTAGCTCTTTTTCTTGCCCCTACATGCAAATATGTTTAAAAGCGTTGCTTAGATGTTCTCTTCCCTTTCTCCCCATCATTTTTTAATTTCACCTGACCTTAAATTTCTATTCCATGGATGATTCATTAACCTTTATCGCTTGACTGAACCCATCTTCTGACCTATGATTCACATTTTCAATTGTTTTCTGAGTACTTCTCTTTAAATTATCTCTTTGTGCCTCTACCTCAACTCAAAACCAAATTGATTTTCTCCCTATCATGGGTCTTTTTTTTTAATGTTATGTTAATCACCATACATCACATCATTAGTTTTTGATGCAGTGTTCCATGATTCATTGGGTCTTACTTATATTATTGGCACTACCATCTTTCCAGTCACCTGGACTTATACTCAACATTAACATCTGCTTCCTCCTTGCTCTAGCTATGGTTTTATCAGTGGAATCTATTGCATCTTATGTTTCTATTCTCTATGTTTCCTGGAATTGGGAGCCATGACTATAACTTAGGCCCCCATTATACTTTATCAAGATTATTTTTTAACTTCCTAACTATCTTCCCACCTCCACTATCTCTCCCATTCTATCACCCAGCACATAGCCTTTAGAATAATCATCCCAAATGACAGTTCTAATCATTTCACTTGTGTCGCACATCTTCAGTGATTCCATTATCTTCAGAGCAATTTACAAATTCCTTAAAAATATATTAAATGGCTCTTATGATCTGACCCCAATCTATCTTGTCGCCCGACGCCCAAATAACTTGTTTCTCACTATTCTGAAAATCTGTCTGAATCTTTCACAACTCTGTGCTTTTGCTCATGCCAATGATGTTGCCTTCACCTCTTCATATGGACACCCTTCTTTCTCTAAAGCATAAAATTATTTCTCTCACCTCCCCAGCTAGAAAGTTCTTCTTCTTAGATTCCCCAATAGAATAGGAGTCTGCAATGACTGAGAACAGATATTTTTTTAATCTTATATCTCCAACTGTGCCTAACATACTGCCTTGCATAGAGCAGGAAGAGAGTAAATACTAAATTGAATTGACATATTAGCTCTTTTTCTGATGAGCCTATAATGTGCCAAGTAATCTAAATAAATGCAATTATATGATGAATATGATCTTAAAAGTAGATAATATTGAAACTCAAATTTTTTTTTAAAGATTTATTTATTTATTTGAGAGAGCGAGAATGAGAGAGAGTACATGAGAGGGGGGAGGGTCAGAGGGAGAAGCAGGCTCCTCGCTGAGCAGGGAGCCCGATGTGGGACTCGATCCAGTGACTCCAGGATCATGACCCGAGCCGAAGGCAGTTGCTTTAACCAACTGAGCCACCCAGGTGCCCTGAAACTCAAATTTTTTATATGAGCTGTTTGAAGAACCAAAATCTCAACCCCACTCTGAATGAGCCTTTATGGAACCTAATTTCAAATAAAAATAAATAAATAATTCCTCAAATTTCCTGTTATTCAGATTTCCACCCTTTTCTTTACACCTTCTATTTCTTAGAGACTCAGTAAAGAGCAGACTTTACAGATACATTTAAATACTGAGATATAATCAAAAAATTTACCTACCAGTTTCTCTATCAACCAAAACAAACACTAAGCTGTTTAAACATTAGATTGATTTTTTTCAATTGAAAGCTTTGCCTTATCTGAAATTTTATGCAAGTTAGCAAAATGTGACTATCTCTAAATTTCAAGTAAATTCCATCAAGCTCAAGTTGGCCTCTGCTCTAACGATTGGATTAAGTCCAATAATATGAATGATAAATTGAGAAATGGAATGTTGCAGTGGATATAAACTGTAACAAAATCATAACAAAATCCCTACTCATTTTCAACCAAAATTTTCTAGACAATTTCTCAAGAGTAAAAGGAAAAGAAGAGTGAGATGACTTTTTGAATAACTGTTTCCATTTATATTCTTTATCTAACTAATTCACCTTTACTATTTTTTTCTAAACAGAAGTTTCTAGTCTTTATATTTCTCGGCAAAGATCAGAGAAATGTCAGAAAACTGAGGACTGATAATACGAATTACTTAAAACCATTTTTTTATTATTATTATGTTATGTTAATCACCATACATTACATCATTAGTTTTTGATGTGGTGTTCCATGATTCATTGTTTGCATATAACACCCAGTGCTCCATGCAGAACGTGCCCTCTTTAATACCCATCACCAGGATAACCCATCCCCCACCACCCTCCCCTCTAGAACCCTCAGTTTGTTTCTCAGAGTCCATAGTCTCTCATGGTTCGTCTCCCCTCTGATTTCCCCCCCTTCATTCTTCCCTTCCTGCTATCTTCTTCTTCTTTTTTTTTTAACATATAATGTATTATTTGTTTCAGAGGTACAGGTCTGTGATTCAACAGTCTTACATAATTCACAGCGCTCACCATAGCACATACCCTCCCAATGTCAATCACCCAGCCACCCCATCCCTCTCACCCCCACCACTCCAGCAAGCCTCAGTTTGTTTCCTGAGATTAAGAAATCCTCATATCAGTGAGATCATATGATACATGTCTTTCTCTGATTGACTTATTTCGCTCAGCATAATACCTTCCAGTTCCATCCACGTCATTGCAAATGGCAAGATTTCATTCCTTTTGATGGCTGCATAATATTCCATTGCATATATATATACCACATCTTCTTTATCCATTCATCTGTCGACGGACATCTTGGCCCTTTCCATAGTTTGGCGCTTGTGGACATTGCTGCTATAAACATCAGGGTGCACATACCCCTTCGGGTCCCTACATTTGTATCTTTAGGGTGAATACCCAGCAGTGCAATTGCTGGGTCGTATGGTAGCTCTATTTTCAACTTTTTGAGGAAACTCCATACTGTTTTTCAGAGTGGTTGCACCAGCTTGCATTCCTACGAACAGTGTAGGAGAGTTCCCCTTTCTCTGCATCCCCGCCAACATCTGTCATTTCCTGACTTGTTAATTTTAGCCATTCTGACTGGTGTGAGGTGGTATCTCATTGAGGTCAAACCATTTTTAAGTCATTAAAACCTTGTGAAGAGATCACTTTGTTTTACATTTCCCCCAAACTATTTTTGAGTCATATAAATCTTAAAAAGTTATCAAAAATAATATATCTTATCTGAGGACAAAAATTCAAAACTATTGCTTTATCTTCAATAATTGCTCCCTATTGCTACCAGGAGCTGTTATAATAATACCAGGAGAGTATCTTATTGAAGTCTCATAGTCGCCCTACAAAGGTAAGCATCATTAACTCCACCTTGGAACTGAGGAAAGTGATCAGGAGGTTAACTAACTTTCCAGAGGCACTCTATGCAGTAAGTCGGGAAATAGGGAATCGATACAGCTGTTTCTGAGAGACCAGAGTCAAAGCACAAGATAGTCAGATAACAGAGTTAGCTGCCACCTGAATATTCCCAGGGCAAAAAACACTGAGGAAACATCCCGAGTGTCAATGTGTAAGAAATGCTATGGCCTATTACACTGATTTAGGGCTTTTTCTTTCTCTCTCTCTTTCTTTTTTGTCTGTATTATTTTCCTGCAGTCACTGGAAATCTTTCTGCTGCATTGTCTGTGATGGTAGCTGGCTTCTTTGAAATACACAGAAAACACTTCCCTCCAATGGAGCAGCCTCTTTCAGGCAAAGTCCTCACCATTTCTTCCATGCCCTGTTTCCACCTGGTTCTTCAGTACGTTTTACTTGGAGTGGCTGAAACACTGGTCAACCCAGTCTGTGAGTAAACGATTTCATCACCGCATGTAAGAACACACTGAGTCTTTACACAGAACACATCACCTCAAGCCATTGGTGACCTATTCACTCCCTGGAGATTTCCCACAATGCTTCGAAACAAGCCTATTTATCAACCTCATTAAAAAAAATGTTTAATTTCTCTTTATTCATCTACCAGATACAGAGCAAGTATTAATTCTACCTGAATGTAGGTGGAAGGAAAGATTTACAAACTTAGTTAAAGGCAGTAACTATTTGGTCAAATACACAACAGGAGGAAAAAACTGCTAAAACCTAGAAGACAAGTCCAATATACTAAGATGAAAACTCTCCTCTCTGTCTTTCTTCTTCCCACCTCCCACCCTCTCACTCACAGATAAATTCACGTATCACTCCCTCCAAAAATGACATTTATAATGCACTCTGAGAATGTATAAACATGCAAATGAAATGAAAATTTGAGTCAATTTTCCAGATAACTCAATGTCTTTAAATTAAGTTATACTAAATTAAGTGTGATCACTAGTGTTTCATAAGACAGGTTCAAAATAACTTTATTAAATATCCAGGGTTTTCTGGATTATCTAGATTGCTGATATTAATTAAACTAGCCACTTTAAAATTCATCAAGATAGTTTAGTGACTTCTTGCAGTACAGCAGTGTGTGTGTGTGTGAGCGCGTGTGTGTGTATTTATCAGTGTAATCTATTGCATCTTATTTTTTACCTTCCTTATATTTCCCTGCAGTGGTAGCCCTGATTGTAACTCATTATACTTTACCAAGATTATTTTTTAACTTCCTATCTTCCTACCTCTGCTATCTCTCCCACTCTATCAATCAGCACATGACCTTTAGTGTAATCATCTTAAATGACAGTTCTGATAATTTCACTTGTCCAAAATCTTCAATTATTCTATTATCTCCAGTTATTTCCAAATTCCTTAACTGTACATATTTAATAAGGATATACATATATATGCATACATATACATACATATATGATACCAAAGCAATTCATTGAAAAAGGTAAAAATAAAAGCAATTAATAAAGTCTGTGTAGGATGTGAAGGCGATCTGACTGTGACATCTGTCACCCCATTGATCTTCAGGGTTGATTCGGCTGATCTGGTTGGCTAGGCAGGTGTTCCCTTCTTCCCTCACCACCGAACGTGCATCCCTCCCAAAGCTGCACACTAGGTGGAAAAAGATGACTTACCCCATAGAAGAGGAACATTCTTCAGTCAAGAGTATATGAGTAGCTGCATTCCCATGCTAGAACCTCCAAACAAGCTCTCAGCATCCATTTGTAGGAGAATGTAGGGTAGCCAAGTTTCCAAGACTCCAGACACATCCAAATGAGGTGCTGCATGTGGCAGTCCACCTTTCAAAAATGAAAAAAAAAAAAAGACAAGAAAAAGAAAGTTTATGGAATTATAATCATATGTCTATTAGATATCTTTTTTAAGAAGATTTATTTATTTGGGGCACCTGGGTGGCTCAGTTGATTAAGCATCTGCCTTCGGCTCAGGTCATGATCCTGGGGTCCCGGGATGGAGTCCCGCATCAGGCTCCCTGCTTGGCGGGGAGTCTGCTTCTCTTGCTCCATATGCTCCTCTCCCAGCTTGTATTCTCTCTCTCTCTCTCTCTGAAATAAATAAGTAAAATCTTTAAAAAAAAAAAAACTAAAAAAAATTATTTATTTTTTTTTAGAGCGAGAGAGAGTGGGGTTGAAGGGCAGAGGGAGAGGGAGAGAGACAGAATCTCAAGCAGACTTCCCACTGAGCGAGGAGCCTGACTCAGGGCTCGATCTCCTGACCGTGCAATCATGACCTGAGCCAAAATCAAGAGTTGGATGCTTAACTGTCTGAGCCAACCAGGCACCCCTGTATTAGACTTCTTTTTATAATTTTAAATCATTCCACTCAATACATTTTATATAAATAAATTGTTTTATGAGATTCTAAGATGTGGCTATCAATGTTTGACACTACAAGAAATACAAAAGAACTATAAAAGAATGTCACTACACAAATGTTTGTGACTTCCCTGATGTGGTTTCCAGAAAATTGTTGGAAGTAGCCAAAATTCTGTAAGCTAGAAGTGAAGCAAGGTAATGAATGCAGGTGATGAATGAATGCAGTCAGGAAATTCCCAGCCAGCTTAGCAATAGTGGTTCAACATACAAAAGCCAAGGTGGTACTTAAAACCATAGACTATTAAAAAGGCAGATCATGTAATATAAACCACTTGGTCTACCCTTCCCTGATTTACCCATCAGGAAACCAACATCCAACTAAGTCAATTGTCTTATCTGCTATTTATCATGGGGTAAGAACCAGAAGACTTTGTTTTGATTCCCAGCTTTGTCACTTACTACATTTGTGACCTTGAGAATTCATGTAACCTCTAAGCTTCACCTTTCTGATCTTTTAAAATGGAAATAATTAAAATTCTTCCTTATATCACAGCAGCAGTGTAAGAATCAATCGGAATGGGGACTACTCTTTGAGAATTAAATGACAACATGTGAAGGGTGTTTTGAACTGTAAATTGAAGAATTACTAAACCAACAAACAAATAAACAAACAAACAAAAAAAAGAATTACTCTTCTGGGAGGCAGTACAACATAGTGGTTAATATCTATGGTCTTAAAATCAGACAAATATGAGTTTAAACCCAGGGCTTTAACCCCAGTTCTGCCATTGACTAAATGTGTGACTCTAGATAAATTATTCTGCGTTTCTGAGCCTTTCTCATCATCTATAAAATGGGGAATGGTTGTTGTCAGGACTAAGTTAAATATTTTATGTAGAGGAAAAAGCAGAGTATCTAGTATATAGACATCACTCAATAATTAGCAACTATGATGTGTGCTGCTACTATTAGTATTCTAATCTTTCACTTGAATGAACAGGGCAAGACTCAGGACTCAAGCACAGATGTCCTGCTCATAGCTCTTTCTACCACACCTACCACAAGCTGAACACCAAGGACCTGGTAGTGTGAGGGAAATTGCGTCTTTCTCACATGAGTCATCCTAAATCCCTTTGTTCCCCTTACTTCTCACCTCTAATACAAAAGCAAGACTTAGTCTTTATTCTGAAATGTAATCTCAATCTGGCCGTGTCTCACTATCTTCTCTGCTCTCCGCCAGTCTCCGTGGTCACCATTATCACACCAATTCTATCAGAGCCTCCTAACTTGTCTCCCTGCTTATTCTCCTGCCCCAGGAGTCCATTCTTCAAAGCAGCCATCATGCTCTTTCCAAAAGAAATTTCTGATTTCTCAATAGGATTTTGGAGATTAATTCCTTAAATGGTGAATAAGACTGTACATGGTTTTGTCTCTCGTACTGTTCCAACTACATTTTATAACATTATTCCCTCTGACCACTCCACTAGAAATTTAATGATCTTCATTCTGTGTTTCTAAAGTGTCAAACTTATTTTCATCCCAAGGCCTTTGTATTTGCTCTTCTCTCTACCCAGAATCCCCTTTCCTCTGATTTCAAGTGTCTGGCTTCTTCTCAGCATCAAATTTTCTCAAAGATTATCTCTTCAGAGAGGCTGTCCAGATGATCCTATCACTTTCACTCCATTGCCCTCTTCCATTTTTTCTAATAGCACTTGTCAGGACCTGCAATTATCTTATTTATATGTGTATATTTACTGCCTGCTTCTTACCGTGAGAATGTGCGATCTTTAAGTCAAGATTCTTATCCTTATTGTCCATCCTTATGTTCTAATGTACTTCCTTCCTTAAAAGTGCATGTACATGGGGCGCCTGGGTGGCTCAGTTGGTTAAGCAACTGCCTTCGGCTCAGGTCATGATCCTGGAGTCCTGGGATCGAGTCCCGCATCGGGCTCCCTGCTCAGCAAGGAGCCTGCTTCTCCCTCTGACCCTCCCCACTCTCATGTACTCTCTCTCATTCTCACTCTCTCAAATAAATAAATAAATCTTTAAAAAAAAAGTGCATGTACAGAGCAGATGACTAATAAATATACTGAATAAACAAATTAATAAAATCTATAGCTATTTCTATGTGTGTACAATAAAAATATATCACTCAAATTAATGACAATGTCCTACATTGATGGCATTGAGCAAGGAAGCACAGTGGATTACTCCCCAAATTTCAGTGGACATTGTTGACCATACTAAGTCATGTTATACTTTGGAGATGATCTACAAGAAAGAAAAAAAAAACACACATAGAAAACTTTTCAAATTATGTCTTAATTATAGCATTGTAATACTCCAGCTATCTCATAACTTGTGTTTGTTTTATTTATTCAAAAAATACTGTGTTAGTATCTACAATATGCTTAACACTACTCGAGAACCTTAAGGCAAATCAATATAAAAAAAAAAGATGGAAATTTCTGCCATTGTAGAACCTACATTCTATCAAAGGGAGAAAGATAATAAACAACAAATGTAATAAATAATTAAATTACAGAACATATTGGGTGATAAGTACCATAGAAAAAGAAAAGATAGAACAGGATAAGGGGGTTCAGGAGTGCCAAGCATAGGAGGTAGCAGGTTGCAGCATTAAGAGATAGATCAGGATAGACCTCAATGAGAGGTAATATGCAAGGACTTGAAACACTTGAGGGAATCAGCCACACATTACTGTTAGCAATGGAGTCCTTAAATGCAAAGATGGGAGTATATCTGGCAATGAAGTGGAAGGGGTCTCGTGAAGTTGGAGGAGAGTGAGGAAGAGAGTGGCCATTGTAAAGACTCTGACTTGGGCTCTGAGAGAAATGGGAAAAGGAATGACACAATATTACTTACACTTTTAAAGAACCCATCTCTCTGCTGTGGAGAACATACTACCCTGAGGAAAAGGATAGATTAAGAATATACTACAGTGAGGAAAAAGATAGAAGATTGATGAATTAAGGAAAGAAATGAGTACCTCAGACCAGGATAGTAGCAGTGTGGGTAGTGAGAAATAATCCAAGCTTAGTTATATTTTGAAGAAGGAACAACAGGATATGAGAAAAAGAGAAGAATTAGTGATGACATCAAAGTTTACAACCTGGGCACCTGTAAGGATGGAGTTGTCACCTGCAGAGAGACAAAAGGCTACAGGTGGAACAAGCTTTGGAGAAAAAATCACCCGTTTAGTTTTGGACATAAATAATGTCAGGTTGAAGTGATAAATAGAGAATTGGATATCCACGTATGTATTTTCATATTGAACTAGGGGATATAGCAAATTTGAGAGTCATAACCATATCAATGGTATTTAAAGCAACAGGACTAATTGAGATCACCAAGGGCATTGGGGCACATTGGGAGTCAGTATAGACAAAGAAGAGGATTCAGGAACTCAACCCAGAAGCACGTCATCATTAAGACATTAAAAGAAGATGAGAAATTTGCAAAGATGAGAGAAAAGAAGTGACAAGCAAGAAAAAGCAAAACCAAAAGAGCAATATCTTAGAAGTCATATGAAGAAATGGTATCAAGGAGGAAGGAGTGTTCATCCGCGTCAAATGATCCTAATATGTCAAACAAGATGAGGACTGAGAATTGACCATCAGATTGAGCAATTTGGCAGTTATTGGCAGTTTGGAAAAGAGCTTTCTTATGTGGGATATCGGAATGCTCTAAAGCCTGTTAGAATGAGTTTAAGGGATAATGGAAAGAGAAGAACTACAGATAATTTATCTTAAGAATTTTGCTGCAAAAGAGAACAAAGAAATGGGACAGTAGCCAACAAAGGAATTGGGTTAAGAACAAGTTTTTACTTGTGTTTGAGGAAGGAAAGATAATGGCATCATACAGCATGTTGGTGGGAATGATTCAAAAGAGAGGGAAAATTTAAACAAAAAGAGAGGACAGTTGATGATATTAGGGAGGGGGAAATTACTGCAAGAAGAGAGTTTGAGATCTAATTTACAAGTTGAGAACGTGGCTTTAGATAGTAGCAAGGATGATTTATCAATGGTAACAGTTTGGAGGGCAGAGTGTGTAGATGCAGAAACTCATGAGTGCATAAATAGGCGAGAAGATTTCTGTGGAAATTCTTTTCTGGCTGATTGATTTTTTTTCAGTGAAGTAGGACGTCAGGCCATGAGCTCTGAGTGAGGATGGGAGAGTATAGTTGAGGATTTGAGGAGAGAGAGAGGTATGAAATTGTTGTCTAAGACAATGAGAGAGTGAATGCACTAGGGAGATATAGAACATTGCCAGGGTGCATTAGGAGACCATTTGAGGTGTGTGGTCAGGAATTTAAAATGAGTTGGTCAACATGGTTTTGTGTGTTTCTTCCAGAAACATTAGGCTGCATGGATCTAGGAGCAGAGATGGCAGAGAGGGAATTGTTGGGCCAATCAATTTCCAGAAAGCAAGAGAAAGGCAAGGGAATGAGGGTATGTTAAAGAATATGATCATAACAATTGACTATGGGACTTAACTTGGCTAAAAAGAGTAGTAGGAGCATACCTTTATGTTCCTCATGAAAGAGGAATAATGAAAGGAGCGATAGAGTGGAGGTCCTGAAGGAGTCAAAACATTTTTGTGGTTGAGTAGCAGGCAGTAAACTGGGAAGACAGGAAGTTGTAGTCAGAGGGGGATGAAAGTTGAGATTATGGAGTGCTTACAATTACTGGCCTAGGGCATGGGTTGGCAAACTTTCTGAAAAGTGTCAGATAGTAAATAGGCTTTTCACACCAGTCTCTGTTACAACTACTCAACTCTGTCATTGTGGTATATGAGCCGTCATAGGCATATCTAATGAATGGGTGTGGCTGTGTTCCAATAAAACTTTATTTATAAATAGGTGGCAGGCCGAAACTTACCTGATGGTAGTTCACCAACTCCTGGTCTGAGGGACAAGGTTCAGGGTGTGAGCATGGTAATGAGTGGCTAAGGTAGAGTGGAGGATGAGGACACTAGAAAGAAGTTCAAGGAACTGAGAAATCAAGATCTAGCAGAATGGAAGTTTTGAAGGGTGGTCTCTATATACGATAAAATTGCCAGGAACTGAGGCAGGAATAGAACTGGAGAATGTGACGAGGAGAGATGAGCTGATGACTTTGAGTAACAGAGGAAAATGTCCTAGAGATTAACAGATGCCTGCACAAAAGAGAAGTATTAGGTGATACCATCGAATAATATTGATATAATCAGAAACAATAAGCTGAAGCTTTTTAGGGATGAGGAAGGAATGATGATCTGAAAATGGCTAATAGGATGAAGTTCCATTTTCTGGGACTGAGGTACTTCTCTTACACGTGTTCGAAATAACTTCTCACCAAACATAATCGGTCTAACAGTTTAAGAACAGTTGGAGTAAAAGAAATTTCAGCAATGAGTCCCCAGTACCAGGGGCCTCAGGAAGGTGGTTATAGCCCCACGGTCTGTAGATTGCCCAGATGCTGTGATGGGGCATCTTTGCAAGCACTAACCAGCCTCTACCTGGAGGCACATTTCAGCTCTCCTTGGCAAGACCAGCTTTCACACACACTGAATATTCTTTACTGTGTCTTCATGGTAAAATGAGAATTTTGGAATAGTGGCAGACTTGTGGATACTATCTATGCTATTATGTGCAAAAAGAAGTACCACAGAGCCTAAAAAATCAGGTTGATGATCACTAAAGTTGAAAGAGATCAGAACATGCAAGCCGGTGCCTGAAAATGGAGTTCCGAGGACTTGAAAAGCTAAGTCCTCTAAAAGGGAACCAAAGGCTTTCAAAACGACTAAAACGACACCAAAGAGAGATTAACCAGCAGGCAGAGAACTGGCAAAGTGTGTTCATGAATTATATACTGCACCAGAAGTTCTAGCAAGAGAAAAGCATAGGATTAATAATTAACTAGCAGAGTAATAATGGGCTTGTACGTTCTGCTTTTTCTCAGTGAAAGAAATCGGCCTACTTAGTCTTTCCGCCCATTGTTTGTCTCCTCATATTTATAGAAAGGAAAGTTCATAAGCCAAATCCTTTTTATAACAGTGAATCATTTCTTCCCAAAACATCGTCAGCGTTTCCCTCATATTGTCCTCCGGATCTCCCTGAAAAAAAAAAAACTTGTGAGCTTGGCCTCGGGCTCCTGCGGGTGATTTGCACTCCACAAGAGAGCTGTGGTACCCATGGCCCCTTGCCGCCGATATTTGAAGACCTTCTCCACGATATTTTATTTATCTCCATCATTATCTTCACCTCCAATAAGTATTTATGGTATTAATGCTATTAACTGCCTGTTTAGCACTGCCCTTAGCTCCGTGCATGTCTCTGCTCTCCGTCTGCCCAGAGTGGAAAATCTAGGAAAGATGCCCCAGTACCTGAGCGGAGGGTGGCCTCAGCCTCAGCCTCAGCACGCAGCCTCTTTCCTGGAGCACAGATAGGGACTCCTTTGAATGTTTAATGGATGATAAATAAAAACACGTGGAGGACATGCAGAAACCAAAATAGAAATGTTAAATGAACGCTAGGAAGGCACATGAATACATTTACATCACGTATTAGTAAGTTTATTTAAAAGGGCTGAACAAATGCAGAGTTTTTCTGGGGTAAAGGGCAGGTAAACCAGGGGTGACGTTTTCCTGAGAGAGAAGGGAAGTGATAATAAGATCTCTTTCTAGAAAAGGAAACTAAGGGACACGTGTGTGGCTCAGTCACTTAAGCATCCAACTCTTGATTGTGGCTCACCTCATGATCTCAGGGTCATGAGATCGAGCCCTGAGCTGGGCTCAGTGCTGGGCATGGAGCCTGCTTGAGATTCTCTCTCTCTCCCCCTCTCCCTCTGTCCCCCCTTATCTAAAAAAAAAGAAAAGAAAAGGAAACTAAAGGTTTAGCCTCTCCGGTATATTGGTTTTCTATCACCACTTTTCTTTTTTAAATGAACTTTAATGTTTATTTATGATCTCTCACTGTAGACAAATTTGCAAAGTACAAAAGAGAAGGAGAAGGAAATTTAAAAATCCGATAATTCAACCACTCAAAGCTAACACTGTTCCTGTTATTTTATGTATTTCCTTCCAATTTTTCACCACACATAATACAAAAGAGATTAGTGCAATAAATTCCTGTGTATTCACATTCCAGCTTCAATCATTTTCACGCCCGCCAAACTTGTCTCATCTCTACCCTCACTTGCACACTCTCTTTCTCCTCGTTGTATAATTTTGAAGCAAATCCCAGATATCATATCATGATAAATGTTGTAAATATTTTAGCATGTACTCCTAAGGTTGCCATGCATATTTTAATATAGTTAATATCATATGTACAAAATCAGATATACTCATTTTCATCTATGTCTGATACCAGAAAAATTTGGGGGGGGCGCTTTTTAAGTTTTTATTTGAATTTCAGTTAGTTAACACACAGTGTTATATTAGTTTCAGGTGTACAATTCAGCAAGTCCATACATCACCTGGTGCTCATCACAGGTGTGCCCCCTAATCCCCATCACCTATTTCACCCATCCCGCCAACCCCTCCCCTCTGGTAATCATCAATTTGTTCTCTATAATCAAGAGTCTGTTCAAAAAAATTATTTGTGATTGAAATTTCTAAAAAAATTTTTTTCCTCCATGATTTTTTTTCAACCTCTTGCCACCATTACCCCAACAATAACTTGGGAGAAGGAAGATAACCCTTTTGGAGACCTGAAGCTTAAACTATAGTCTCTCTTTAGGTAACCTCTCCATAAATAGGATAATTTAAATGCATGTAAGGGACTTCGCACAAGTAGGAGCCGTTTGACTTGGTAAGATTAATACTGTTAAAAATAGCCAACCATGGGGCGCCTGGGTGGGTCAGTCGTTAAGCGTCTGCCTTCAGCTCAGGTCATGATCCCAGGGTCCTAGGATCGAGCCCCACTTCGGGCTCCCTGCTCCGTGGGAAGCCTGCTTCTCCCTCTCCAATTCCCCTGCTTGTGTTCCTGCTCTCGCTGTGTCTCTCACTGTCAAATAAATAAATAAAATCTTTAAAAAAAAAAAATAGCCAACCTGATTCAGTTCCTACAAGTCAGCATTTTACATATATTATAGTATTATACATACATTATAGCAAGTAAGAGCCACAGCACCTCTGCAAGTGAGTGATGATATTGTTCCCATTTTATAGAGAAGAACACTGAGGTTGGAAAGTTTAAGTAACTTACTTAAAATTACAGAGGTAGTAGATAGTTGACCTGAGATTTTAGCAAAAACTTGTCTAACTCCAGAACCCATCCTCTTAACCTCCATGTTAATTTTATATGATAAATTCAAGTTTTCTATGGGGAAACTAATGATTTACATAGAATCACAGAATCATAGACCTTATTACTAGATTGTCATATTACCTAGTACAAGCCTCACCCTAACCCAAAATTAATAAGAAATATTTAAATGGGGGTGAAATTTGGATGAGTATGTTGGGACACACAAACCACCAAGTAGGTTAAATTTTCCTTGTAGCTATACAAGAGTATGTTTTGCCATATTTTGCTCCTTTTATTTATTTTTTTTAAAGATTCTATTTATTTATTTGACAGAGACACAGCGAGAGAGGGAACACAAGCAGGAGGAGTGGGAGAGGGAGAAGCAGGCTTCCCATTAGCAGGGAACCCGATGCGGGGCTTGATCCCAGGACCCTGGGATCATGACCTGAGCTGAAGGCAGACGCTTAACAACTGAGCCACCCAGGTGCCCCTATTTTACTCCTTTTAGACATATGTAAATTGTAACATCATAGTATGTCTTATTATAGTAACTTTAACGAAGTCCAACCCAAATTTTGCCTTTATCAGTAAACTTTCTTTGAGGTATGATCAACACTAATTTGAATAACATCTATGGAAGTATTTTACAGGGAATGTTCTAAATTTTGACTTTCTCTTTTCCTTTCAGTCTCTGTAATACATAGATTTGTTCCGAATACCATCAGAGGAACCTCTATGAATTTCTTGACACTGTTCAATGGATTTGGTTGTTTCATGGGGGCATTGCTAGTGGAGTTGGTATATCTCATCTCAGAAGGTAAAAATAGGTTCATGGTATATTTATATATATATGTGTGTATATATATATGTATATATATATCGATTTGATGACTAGAGAATTGGGAGACAAAATCTTAAAAGAAGGGCTTTGCCAGTGTGGTCTTTTTTTAATTGATCCACTTTTGCAATTAAGATAGAATTAAGATAGGAAATAGACTCTTGCTGTATTCATTAATTTCTGGGAATTGTTTTTCTTTTGATAGGAGGAGGTAATTACAGAATGTCACTTCTCATGAGACCCTGTCTGCTGTCTTTCTCTAGGGTATTTTAAAACAAATAGTTCGTTATATTCTTATTAGATCTTTCAGTAAGGTCATATCAACAATGCCTCATAGTTGGCATAGATAATCCTCAGAAAAGGTAAGTCCTGTGGAAATGTAGGAGAATGGGGTATCTGGATGATCTTTTTTCCCTGTGATTTTCCAGAAATCATGTCTATGCAATCAAAAAGAGACCGTGAATTGAATAGCAAATCGTCTTGGAAAATTTTTCCCATAGAAATTGATCAGGAGAAACCCCATCTGAAAAATTCACGTGCAACAAAAAAGTAGTACTCATACATGTGCTAACAGAAAAATTGGCAGATGACAATGATTAGATGTCATGGTGAAATGTCTTTGGCTGTATTTTAGATCTACAGGCTTTTTCCTTTATTTGTTCTAAGATGTTAACATGGCTTAACTTTTTTTTTCTAAATTTACTTTTGCTTATTTTATGAAAACACAAAAGTTTATTCTCTACTTTCAAAGGTACTTACAGTTGTGCACTTAAAATAATGTAAGAGAGTGTTGGTTTGTGTTCTCCTGTAACAAATTTAATTTACTTACTTTCAAACTATGGAAAAATTAACTTCTATGAATGAGAAACCCTTTTTAACACTATCTTCATTCAAAAAATATTTATGGATGACCCACTCTGTTCCAGGCACAACACTGGACATTGGGGAATACCATGACAAGGAAATAAACACTCCCAAATCCTCACAAAATTTCCAGGGGTGTAGGGAAGCAGTAAAATTAAGAATGATAAATTTGATGATAGGTGGAGTAGAGTTCTAGGGAACAAATGTACAATCCTTGATTGATTAATGATTATTATCATTAATTAAATCATAATGATTGATTAATAATCATTAATAAGATAAATTATTGCCCTTGTCTTAGTTAACTGAGAAAACGAAATAAGTGTGTATTGAATACTTACTGTGTGCCAGGCTCTGTGCTACATGGAATTTGTGAGATATGGTTCCATTTCTCAAAGGACGAAAATTCAAACCGTCATAACAACTGTGTGAACGGCAGCAAGTTACTGACTGCTCTGGTGGTTAGATTCTTTATGTATAAACAAGAAACAAAGCACTGGTATTAGAGTTTTATAAGGTAACCTGGAAAAGTCTTACCTATATCTCTACTTAAACATCTTATGTGTTCAGCATATGTTTATTTTCTTCAACATTACCCAATGAGGATGTTTCTGAAAATCTGCTTTTTTTTTTTTTGAAAGATTTTATTTATTTGTCAGAGAGAGAGAGAGAGAGCACAAGCAGGGGGAGCAGTGGGGGAGAGGGAGAAGCAGACTCCCTGCTGAGCAGGGAGCCCGATGCAGGCCTCCATCCCAGAACCCTGAGAACATGACCTGAGCTGAAGGCAGACGCTTAACTGACTGAGCCACCAGGTGTCCTGAAAATGTGCTTTTAAAAATGTCTATAATCACACCACATTTGACATATTCTAGAAGAACTACGAAGTCAAATATTATTATCAGTTTACCTTTTATATAAATCTACATTTTCCCTATGTATGTTTGGGGAACGTATCCAGTTAGGCCAAATGTCACAAGACTGTGCTCACTTTAGTCATTAGCCACAAGTTCAGAGGTTCCCCAGGACTGCTGTCACCTTTGATAAGCTGGCTATAAATGTGGAGGTCCCCACAGACCCGCTTCAGTTCGACAATTTGCTAGAATGACTCACAGAACGCAGGAAAGCTCAGTACTTATGATTACAGCTTAAAGGTAGCAAAAAACTACAAATCAGAACAAGATCTAAGAGGGTTCCAAAAGTAAACTTCTTTCATCCTCAGGGATGCAGTGGCCAACTGGCGTACCAATGTGTGACAATACACAGAATATGGCCAACTAGGGAAGTTTACTTGAACTTCAGGGTGCAGAATTTTCAATGAGGTTTTATAATGTACACAGGATTAATTGAACCCTTGGCCATGTGATTGAACACAGTCTCCAGCCTCTTCCCTCCTATCATATGGCTCAAAGCCTCAACCCTCTAATCACTTGCTTGGTCTTCCTGCCTGGCCAGCCCCTTCTGCAGTCATCTCATTAGTATAAACCATCAGGTGGGGCTGGAGAGGCCCACCATGAATAACAAAGACATTCCAATTACTCAGGAAACTCAAAGGGTTTAGCGTTTAACAAACAGGACCCAGGACAGAGGCCAGGCAAATTCTCTATTACACACAATTATTCTTGCAATCCATTTCATTGAAAACCTACATTTTGCTTGAGAATCTGAATAATATGGTAGGAACTGTTACTTACATTATTGCATTTATTGCAACAATCATATAAAGGTAATGTTATCCTTATTTTTGAAATGTAATAATTAAAACAGGAAAAAGAAAGCAAAGTGGTTGAGTCATCACAACGAGTATCTGACAGAGATCTGACCCTTGCGGTGTTTTGAAATCAACATCAACATTGCTTTTAATACACCAAATAGCTATTAGGAGTCACCCAGTGTGAGGACCTTTTAATGACACTTGTTAGTTCTGAAAAACAACCTCCTCGGATGGGGGTCTGCATGTTGGATATTATTGATAATATTCTAGATATAATAAAAGATGGATAAACCAAAGTCTATATGATTTTGGCAGAGTTTACCAAAGACAAATGGCGAGGACATCTTAGCCACATGGATGTGAGTGGGGTGCTCTCTAACCTTGTATTCAAGAGAACACCATTTAAATTACCACTAATTATTTCAATTTGCTTATACTTTTAAAGGTTTTTGTTGTTGCTGCTGTTCATGATAATACTGTGTTACATTAAGTCCTCTCCCAATAAATTAGAATCTTTTTTTTTAATTTAAATTCAATTAGCCAACATGTAGTACATCATTAGTTTCAGATGTAGAGTTCAATAATTCATCAGTTGCCTATAATACCCAGTGCTCAAAAAATATGGAACACTTCACAAATTTGCATGTCATCCTTAAGCTGGGGCCATGCTAATCTTCTCTGGATCATTCCAATTTTAGTATATGTGCTGCCGAAGCAAACACCCAATAAATTAGAATCTTACAATTGGATGTTAATGGCAGAAGCCATCTAGTCTAACACTGTACCCAAAACTAGATGTACCAGCATCACCTAACACCCAGAAAAATTCTCTGCTTTGAACGTAACTTGTGTCTGCCCATCTGCTGATAACTATGTTCCATAGCATAAGTCTAATTTTCTATCCACATACCAACTTTGCAACATGTGAGAAATATTCAGAGAAACAGTGAGGTACAATGTTCAAATCCAGACAGTCTAGGTATGTGTTTTCAGTTTCTATGCCAATAACAACAATACATAGTTCATCATGCTGTTATCAGGATTAAGTAATTAAGACACACAGTAAGTGCTCAGTAGAGATGGCTATGGTCCAATAATATGGCTTCTAGGATTAAACACAATACTCAAGATGTTACTTTTATCAACCTGGTGTCTCTCTCTCTCTCTGAGAGATTGTGTTGACTTTTTCAGTAGTTGCATTGTGCTTATGGTCAATTAAAACGTGAACCTTTTTTTTATTATTTTGTTTTTAACAGTTGCTCTCAGTTCAGTTTCACTCATCCTATCACAATTTCTTTCTAATTAAATGCAAGACTTTATCCTTGATAAATGTCAACTCATCATCTTAAATAACAGACATTTTTAAAACTTGATTCTGTCACCCAGTGAATTACTAATCTTTACTTCTTTACTAGCTTTGTGTCATCTGCAAACTTAGTAAGCAAGTTCCTAGACTTCTTCCAGGTAATTGACAAAATTGGTGAATTGGACAGGACCAAAAATAGAGCCTTGTGGAAAGTTCCTAGAGAACTCACTCACTGCCAGTTATCAACTAATCTTCCCTTTTTGGGTGTAATCAGCTCCCACTTCATCTAATTACCATCATTCAGCCCATGCACTTCTCCATCACTCCCTGAATGACGTCACAGGACACTTTGTCATATGTTTTTCTGGGAGAAGGATATATCTGCGTTTGTGAAAATCCCTTTAGCCATCAGAATAGCATTCATCAAGAAAGGAAATGACATTTATTTAGAGGATTTGGTTCTTGTGACCCTAACTTGGCTTATGTAACTAATTAGGGCCCCTAAGAAAGAGTGATCCTTTGTATACATGACATTCGGTAGGTCACCATCTTCCCTAAGACTGTCCTCTTATTTGAAAAAGGGAATGCTAGGGGTGCCTGGGTGGCTCAGCTGTAAACGTCTGCCGTCGGCTCAGGTCATGATCCCAGGGTCCTGGGATCGAGCCCCACATCAGGCTCCCCGCTCAGCGGGGAATCTGCTTCTCCCTCTCCCACTCCCCCTGCTTGTGTTCCCTCTCTCGCTGTGTCTCTCTCTGTCAAATAAATAAATAAATAATCTTTTTTAAAAAAAGGGAATCCACTTTTCTCAGAGATGACGAGAGGATAAAATTAAATAATGCATTTGATCATTTTCATACCAGAGATTCTTTTAAATAGAAAATAAGTCACATATTATAGTGGCCCCTTTGGTTAAAAACAAGAACAGTCTTTTAGTCAAACAACCAGACCAATCTTTTTTTGACAGAACCAACCAGAGTGACACCAATACCGTAACTATGTACTTAAGCATCCCACACGCCTCCACATTCCATTTAGCATATAAGATATTTTAAAACTTTAAGGATTCATGTCAGCTGAGCATGTGTGTATGTGAGTGTGTGTGAGTGTTGGTGTATGATTGGGATAGACGATCGGCTCTCACAGTCTCCCAGTCTCCAAGCCGCATTAGTCATTTTTAGCACCATGATGGAGAATGGTGTGAATGCGGTAAATTCAAAAGATTTCTCAAAACTTCACTGTGCAGACAGATAACTGTTAGAGTGACATTTTCAGTACAAGTGAGAAAACTGATCCTTCTAGGATCTCTAACTCTGAGTGCTTTAAAGGAGAAGATACAAGACTAAACCCATCCTCCTACACTAATCATTTCAGGAACAGTTTCTCTAAAAGTAGCAATGCTAATATGAGGGAGTGAAGAAGTCAGTCAAACTGCTTATTTCCACTATATCCCATTAGCAACCAGATCAGTTTTCTCACACTCATGGGTTCCAGCTTACCTTTTGACAAAAATAACAAAACAGAATTCAGTGGAAAGTGACATCTTAGTAATGGACGTGCAGGTGATTGAAAGATCCAAAGCAAAATGTCTAAGGGAAAAAGGATAATTGGGCAGAATCAAGAACTGAAGGAATACATCTTCTTGTCCCCGTTAGTCCTTCCTCCTAGAATTCAGGAAAGGAGCAAAGAATTTAGCTGTTTGATTCCCATCAAGATCATTTTAAATTAAAAATGTGATCTTTTACATTCTTCATTTGAATATCTGTGATTATTGAGACCACTGACAACCATGCCAGCATGAATCACCGAGTCGCTCTTGCAAGAGGAATTTACAGTTGCAGTAAACTTAGAAGAAAATAATTATGCACCTGAAAAGCTATTTAACCGGATTCCATAGGTCCATGCCTATTTTCTCAGAATATTTTCTTCAAATTCATACCAGTGCCTCAGGTTCAGCCTCATTCGGGTTTTGAGAGGAGATTTTTAGACCTAAGCGGGGAAAGTAGCCTGCTACCCCATCATTTACTTTTAGCCAAGCCATACTCTATTTGCCTATCAACTGGTCTAATGCCAGTGTTTCTGGAGTTTACTTGATAGACCCCCACCAACTCTCGAAGGCAAATCCTGCTCATGGTCTTCAGTCAGAAATAGATTCAGAATCTTCCTTGTACAATGAAGTTATGAATCTCAGATATAATTTATTCTACCACAGCTTACCTTTTGATGAAAATGACAAAACAGAATTCAGTGGAAAGTGACATCTTAGTTATGGATGTGCAGGTGATTGAAAGATCCAAAGCAAAATGTCTTTGGCCCAACTTTGGCCCCACACAGACCCTTGGAGCTGCTCAGAGGCCTCAGGGTTCATAACACTGCAAAGCAGAATTCAAAATACCCCTTAGACTATGGAAAGCAACTATCCACTGCTGTTGGCTCACAAGATGTAGAAAGGGCAGATTTTTGAGTCAACAAACCTGAATTCAAATTCAACTCAGCCCTTAACAAGCTGTGAGATCTTGAGCACATTACTTAACTTTTCTGAGTCTCAATTTCTCCTTTTCTAAAATGGTGTCACTAATAACTTCTAAGATTTCTATAAGGACTAGAGGAGATAGATATAAAGCATCAGGTTAATTAAAGTGCACAGAAATAATGATTTGTGTTGTTATTGTAAATTGAGTGGGATCTCAACTTTTTCCAAGTGGGCTAGGATTATCATGGATATGATGATCTGGTATAGCACTTTAATATTCTTCAAAAAAGAATGTGTTCCATAAATGAGGACATCAGGTATTCTATTCAGCTTTAATTCCAGGTCTGGATTGGGATGAGATGAAATAAAGCAGTACTCTGAGATTCTTCTTGACGTCATGGACCCATGTCTTTAGTGGAGCTTCCTTTGTATTGAAAACATACAATTCTAGATAGAATTAGATATGCATACACACAGAAACACACACGCGTGTCTGTGTGTGTGTGTGGTCTCCCCCACTTGTCTGGCTGCTACCTTTCTTTCTTTGGCAGGACATTCCTCCTCCATCTAAACTCTAACATGGGGTTTTTCAAGTCTAAATACTGGGATCCTTTTTGTCCTCATTCTCAATATTCACACTAGGTAATTTAATTCACTTCTATGGGTTCCAATGTTATTTTTGTGCCAAGGATAAGCATACATCTATTTACTAAAGATAAAAGAGAGGATTGTTTCAAATAGGAAACGATAAACTAGGTAAAATCCTACTGTGAGAGCAAGTAAAATGAAGAATGGAAAATATCTGTAGATTTAGCAACAGTATGATCACTAACAACTTTACCAAGAGTCATTTCAGTGGTGAGAAGGGAATGAAAACCAGGTAAAGAACATCTAGGAAGTGAGTAAATAAAGGTATCACATTCAAACAGCTTTTTAAAGGACCTTGGCAATGAAGAAGATTTAAGAGATAAAGTGGGGGCTAGATGGGAATCTGGGTCGATTTGACAGACTTAGCAAATAAAAGTACAGGACAGCCAGTTACATTTGGATTTCAAACAATGAATACTTTTTTTAGTACAAGCATAGCCCGTGCAATATTGTGAACACACTTTACACCAAAATATGATTTGTGCAATGTTTAAGACATGGTTATCCTAAAAAAATAATTCACTGTTGTTCTGAAATTCAAATTCAATGGTGAGTCCTATATTTTATCTGGGAGGTTAGGGGTGAGTTCGAGATACATTTCTATTTTGAGAGCTACTTGGGCATATTTAACTGATGAAAACATCTGGTGTAGATGGAGAAGGTAAAAATGCAAGAGAAAGAAGGGAGATTGACTTCTTACTGGGGGGTGGATGCTTCTTTCTTGCACTCATACAGAAGAGAGAATGGGAAGGATGGGTGCCCAGGCAAACAGAGGTGTGGTTCTGGTATTGGAAAGATGCTGGCAGCTACCTTTCAAAACTCAGTTTTCTTTATGAAGTAAGCAGCGAGCCATTCATGAGAGCAAAAGGGGGTTCAGATGAAAATGAAGAATGGGAAGAGCAGTGTTATCGCAAGAGCAAGAAAAGATGATTTAGAAGAGAAGTCATTAAGATTGCTGACAGTGTTAGCAATGTCCACAATAGCCAAACTATGGAAAGAGCTTGGATGTCCATCAACAGTTGAATGGATAAAGAGGATGTGATACACACACACACACACACACACACAGGAATATTATGCAGCCATCAAAAAATGAAATCTTGCCATTTCATTTCATGGATGGAACTAGAGGGTATTATGCTAAGCGAAATAAGTCAATCAGAGAAAGATAAGTATCATATGATCTCACTGATATGAGGATTTTGAGAAACAAGACAGAGGATCATAGGAGAAGGGAGGGAAAAATGAAACAAGATGAAACCAGAGAGGGAGACAAACCGTAAGAGACTCTTAATCTCAGGAAACAAACTGAGGGTTACTGGAGTGGAGGGGGGTGGGAGGGGTGGGGTGGCTGGGTGATGGACACTGAGGAGGGTTTGTACTATGGTAAGCTCTGTGAGTTGTGTAAGACTGATGAATCACAGACCTGTACCCCTGAAACAAATAATACATTATATGTTAATAAAAAAATTTTTAAAAATAAAAGATTGCTGGCAGTGTTTAAGGCCCAGCTGATATTAGTAATCATGAAGAGTGACACCAAATGACTGAAAACATGATTTTGTCCAGTGGTATTCAGGTGTCCAATAAGGTTATGAAGCTGTCCGGTAGATTTTTAAATGGTTTAAAGACCACAAGACAGGAAGAAAGGCATAAACTCTGCTCTTGAATTAAAGACTATGAAGCAAATCTTATATGCGATTTCCCTCCAAATATGCAAAAGAGAGAGGGGGGTGGATATCTTTTCAAATTCTGAAATAAACAAGTCTACTCATTAGCTGAAGTTACAAATTAGAGAACAGACTGTACAAATAAGCAGATATTGGGCAAAATCAGTTCCTGCTATATCCATGATATTATTTAGACTCAGTATTTTACTATTTTAAATAGCTCCACTGCAAGGTTGATTTATAAATTCAGTTCACAAATACGTATTGGGTTCCTACTATGTGCCAACACTGGCCAGATAGTGAATTAATAATACCAAGGCTCATGTTTAATTAACAAGAAGAACCTTATAGAAATATTTGACACTCAAATTAATATCAGATATATTCATTTGACTAATGCTATTACAATTACAGTTCATAGCTAATGGCATTATCGGGCTATTATCACAAAGCATTACCTCTCTTCTAAAACTCATTTCCATGATAATTCATTGAAATCATCATGAGAACACACGATCTTGATGGGTTTTTACCTCCCAAAGCTCTTCAAGAGAATGAACTCACCCTTACAAGAAAGCCTGTTATCCCAAATATCACCCATGCTCATTCTTTCTGCAGTTCAGGTGAACAATGCATGGCGATTTCTCTACAGTTTTGAAAGACACAGTGTCCCTTCCTGGAAACAGCAACCTAACTTCATCTTTGTCCACAATTCCCAGGAGTACAAATGCAAATTAAAGTCTCGATGCAGACATTGTTGTGAGAGCAAGGTATCAAGCATGTGCAGATTTGGGGCCCAACCTCGGTTCACCCATTCAATCAACAAATAATTATTCTGTCTCCTTTGCATGACTTTAGGCAAACAGTTCAGCCTCTCTGTGCCTCTGTTTCCTTGTCTGTAAATTGAGGGTAATCGTAATTTGGTACTTATTAGACAAATACGAAAAAGAGGTAGAAAAGCCAAAGTTAGCATATAGTTGTTAGATATTATTTCCTTCCGGTATCATGAAAATTAATGTGTTTTAAAAATTAACTCAGGTAGGAGAGCTATGAATCTCAAATGAAGCATTTAAATCAGGTTACTGAAAGGAGGAAGGAAAGAAATTAACATTTATTAAGTGTCAGTTATATGCAGATCTTGCTATATATATTTCGCAAAGATATTGTTTCATTAAATCTTCACAACAGTTCTTCGGGGGTAGATGTTTGTAGCCCCGTCACTCGTAAGAGGAAAATGAACAGAGAAAGTTACAGTAGTTGCCCAAATCTTACAGAAGGGGTGGATTCCTGATTCCCAAGCTCCTTTTGCTATACCAGAGTTTATTTCCCATGGCACAGAAGCACGTCCATCCTGGAGAATGGCTGTTACACGTTTTTAATTACATACTTCTTCGCACATAGTGAAACGAGGGATAAAGTAAGGTATAAAGCCCATTTCAGTTCTGTTTCAACAATTTTGGACGTTTGCGAGATCACCAGCAGTACAAAAAATAACTTTAAAAAAAAATAGATCTAACGAAGTCCGAGGGGAAATAATGGCTCACTGTGCCCAACTATCATTTGAAGAAATTCCAAAAGGCACATTTTAATATTTTCGAAGTTCCATTACATTCAAAATAAAATGGTGTTAGTAAAAAGGGGAACTACTGAATCTTCCTCTGAAAAGACATAGCAGAAACCTGCCTCTAATCGAAAGCAATATGCTGTAGCACTTAAAATAATGCATGTATATTTGAGATATTTGGTAAATCTAGGGTTTCTGTATGGAATATAGCGACATATCACTGAAGGGAGTGAATCTTAGGTTTCAGAATAGACTGGTTATTGTTACTTGGGATGTTATGATTTCCAAAATAATATCTTAGGACGGTTTTATAAATAGCACGTAACTTCCAAGTTACAGCATCGAGGCTGCTATTCAATACTTCGATTGCTGAAGAAGAGTAGGTTGTGATAGAAAACCACCCTTTTCCGTTGTTTTATCATAAACCAGAAATGATTTGGAGAAGTCAGAGTTTTACAAAAGTGTGCTTGATGAAATGTTTTTAAAATATTATTTTTTGCTGTAACAGTAATATATGATGAAATAAATCCAAACTCTAAAGGAAGGTGGGAAAAGACCAACAAGATGATGGCAATTATTATTTGCGTAAATTCTTTCCCAGTATTTTTTTTATTTGTGTGGATGTGTGCATGGGTATTAAATTTATAGAGAGATTTTAAACAAAATTGGGGTCTGAATAAGCCCTGCTGAATGCTCAATAAAAAAATTATATCAAGTTCCCACTTTTTTCCCCTCAAAAGTATTGTGAGCATACTTCCATGTCATTTCAAATTAAAAAAAAAAAAAAGTGAGATTTTTTTTTTCTAGAATCCTGGAAATGGGATTACTCGTTCAACAAGGATAAACATTTTAAAGACTATTGGGAAGTAAAGAGAAATTGTTTTCTAAAAGGCTGCATCAATCTGCAGTAGAATAATACTTGTCTCAATGTGTTACTTGCAGCCCTGAGCATAATCATATTTTGATTTTTGTTAACATGAGTGGCAAAAATTATATTGCTTTATTACTTTAATTAGTATTTTTCAAAATGGAAA